AAATCGAAAGCAGCCCCGAAAGCTGCACCAGCACTGGGAAGAGTGTCGAAAGCGAAAGCATCATCGTCAGCGACATGGAGAACAGTTGAAACCGCTCCTCCGCCAAAACAAGCTCCAGTGACCCCGCCAAAGAAGGGTGGAAAAGACCAAGGAAAAGGTGGAAAATCTTATTCACACCGTGGCGGAGACTGGAACCATCAGGGATACTATGGATGGGGAAATAGATGATTAAGCGATCTGACCTCCGCATAGGTCCCGATTGAACCTGGCGATGCGAGGATGCAATCATTGCTCGAGATTTACCTCTACTTCATTTTGAATGATTTCTGAGAGGACTCTGAGCCGGCTAATTTAGAACCACACGTTTTTTTTTTGAACATCATTGCATGAGACGCTGAGTTTCTACAGCGGTCTACATCTCAATCGACGAAGGAACGGGAAGGTAAAATTCTAGTTCCTGAGTCATATTTGTGTTTTGATTTTATTTGTAATTCACCTGCTTGAGTGGGATTCCATGCTGGCTACGCCACATCGGATGAACCTCAATGCTAGACACCGACTACGTCGTGTCTACATGCACGTGAACAGAACCTTTATCTTTTGGTAGAGATTGTAGCAAGCCGCCATGTAGATATGAAGTTCTGAAACGGACTTTAGCTCTCCATAATTCAATAAATGAATAGCTGCGAGTGTAATGGATCAATTCAAAGAACACTCCTTTGCGCGTAGCCGACAAAGTTGGCTATGCGTGGGGGGCGCGAATAGAGTGTAGGCTACGGATCACTGTATATATGCATAATCATACACTCTAGGATCCATCGTCAAAGGGGCACTCCGACATTGGCCTCTTTGGCTCAAGACATACTGCAGCTACAGGGAAAATGAGAGCCATGCGGAAGCTGCCGCCCTCGTGAGGTCGTCATTGCAACTGCAAGTATCAACATCAATTACAGGAACATAATCGGGCCAACAATCCCCGATTCGCAATATATATACATGTATAGATAGATATAGATAGATATAGACATAGACATAGATATAGATATAGATATATTTGGTACTACATATATATATATATATATATATCTCAAACGTATTAGATAATATACAACTCCTGGGTTAAAAACGATGTTTGACGATGTTTGCTGGCAAGATGTCCAATATTTCTATTGACCCTTAACCCAGGGAATTTAGAAAATTGTAGGCTTACAATGGTTGCGGTGCACAATATTACACAATGCTTATTGATCGGTTAAACTGTGATGGAATGCATCCATTCATCAAGTTGTCCCAGCTGCGCAGGCGTGGAGTTGCCTCCGCCTTTCTACATCTCCATTCTGCACACCAGGCCCTGACGTACGATTTTTTCGACGTGATGAAGTGACCAGTTCCCAGTCCGTTTGCATCAAATCTCAATGAAGTGACCAGATACCATGATCTTTTAATCAAACTTGAACGGCTTCATCTCAATATTTGATCTTTTTCTGGATCTATATTAGAGTACCTTGATAATTCAATGGATTGCCATCTTGAGGATATAGTTATATATAGTTCATACCCAAACCACAGTGTCCCACCATCAGAGGAATCAGACGCGCCGCAGCCGGTCTCCAGGCATTTGCCCTCGGGAGGGACTGTGCGACGCCATGGAGATGACGCTGGGACACGTTGGACCCGTTGAGTTGGACGAATGACCGACCGTCCGGTGATTTTCCAATGTTATCCGGTATGATTGTTAGATTATTATATATTGTTATTATATATTGTCATATATTATGATATATTAGATATTGCTTTATTAATAAATCCGGTGTTATTTTTCTATATTGTTATATTAGATTCATATAGATTAGATGACCCTTCTGGTTCTGAGAATGGGGTGTATCCCCGTTGAATCCATCGAAGTCTGTCTGAAAGTCGACCACAAATCCCTATGGTTTCCCTATGGGCCCTATAGGTTTATCATCAATGGCCATGCAATAGGAACCGATTGATTGGAGGTACCGATTCCATGAATATTTTTGGCCTATGTAAGGATTGATATCATTATCATTATCATTATCATTTGCCCAATTAAGATGATCAGCAACAAATCACATACCGGTTGCAGTGGCGTTTCAGCTGCCCTCAGTGGGACTTGTCGGTCTACGAGAACTACCTCTTCGCCTTCGAAGCCAAGCCGCCCTTCGCCATTGTCAAAGTTGGACAGAAGCTGCTGCCGCTGGTGCCCGGTCGATCTGTCCCTTGGGTTTGTATTACCGGTGAGATGAGGGGTTTAACACCTGTCACTGTAACACGAATGGAAAGGCAAGATTTGCTTCGGAAAATATATTTGATGTTGAACAAGGGCGAAGGGCGAAGGGACCTACTATTCCTATATTCTATTGGATTTCCCAAGTCATCCTGTGAAGATTTTTGTCGCCCCAGATCTTTCCTACGGCGATGGGTTTGTTCATTCTTGGG